GGGAATGCTTATCATCCTTGTAACTCTAGTAAAAATCTCTTTTATATATATATATATATATATATATATATATATATATATATAGATATATATAATATATATATATATATATATATATATATATATATATATATATATATCTATATATATGGTTTAGTTTGATTTTGGTGACTGAACTTTTTTGGATGTTTTATTTTGGTCATTATACTTTGTTTAATCTATCATTGGTCATTAAAATTATTTATTTTGTTCATTTTGGTCGCTCTAACCGGGGATAGCAGGTATATAAAATCGAACGACATTGTCAATGTTATAATTAGTCATTGAACTTTTTTGGGTGCTTTATTTTAGTCATTATATTTTGTTTAACCTAACGTTGGTCACTGAATTTTTTTTATTTTAGTCACTCTAGTTTTTTTTATTATCATTTATCAAAAATAAAAAAACCTACTATTTTTTCCTTTTCTCCACAACTAAACATGTTACGCCAATTATTTACAGTAAATTACATGAATAATTCTTGTGATTTAAGGTAGGATGTACATTTAGTGCTTAACTTTTTAAAATCGGATGCTCCCAATGACTTTAAGAGAAAACTATTGTGCTTTACGGTAGGTTGCACATTTAGCCACAAGGATTATTCATATAACTTAATCTAAAATAATTGATGTAACAAGTTTAGTTGTGCATAAATGGAAAAAAGTATAGTTTTTTTAATTTTTTATAAATGATAATAAAATATAGAGTGACTAAAATGAAAAAATAATAAAAAAGTTATGTGACCAATGGTAGCTTAAACACAACATAATGACTAAAAAATTATATACCAGCTATCACCGTTTAGAGTCACCAAAATGACCAAAAATAAAGAAGTCCAATGACGAATGGTAGCTTAAACAAAGTATATATATATATATAATATATATAGATATATATATATATATATATATATATATATATATATATATATATATATATATATATATATATATCAGTGTTGTAAAATCGGTCTAGGCGGCCGATTAATCGGGGATTAATCGCTAGGCGGTCTTCAACCGAATTGGATTAAGGCTAATCGGTCGGCTTAATCGGTTTTGGTCAAAGGGGTCAAAGTCGGAGCTAGACGGTTCTAATTGGTCCTAATCGATCCTAGGCGGCTAAATCGACTAAATTTTCAAATTTTAAAATATTAAATCAAAATTTTCAAAGTTTCAAAAGTTCATAGCATTTCAATGTTCAACTAATATATACAAAAATTTCAAAAAAATAAAATTTTAAAGTTTTTCTCCAAAATTTTCAAAATATCCAGGTTTTCAAATATATAAATATCCAAATTTACTTCTTTTCTTAAGATATATTAAAATTTGAATAACTTTTCTTATTAATTGGATGATAAATTGTTGTGCTTGTTAAACTTATTATTAAACTTTTATGCTTATTTATTTATATTCTTACAATTAAAGTTAGATATTTATAAATTTTTGAATAATTTTCTTAATAATTAATGGTCCCCGATTAATCTTCCGATTAATCCCCGCCTAGCCGATTTATCCTAAACCCCAGTCCACCGAGTAGCTAACGTCCCGCAAACTCCGCAAACTTTTTTTGTGTGATTTACTTTATCAGATTTCCTATTCCTATGAATTAAACCATATAAAATAAAAATACCCATAACCTTGAAAACAAATTTAAATATACATGCATAACATAAAATAAACAAATAGAAAAATTGTAAAGCTGGAAATATGCTTGGCAAACTCATGATAATATGTGATGATGTTGTAAGTTATGAGTATGTGAAACCAATTTTTATTCACATTCACATATGTACGTACATATATGTTGTTAATAGAAAATGCATGTAGTCGAAATTTTCTATAAAATAATCCAAATTTGGCTCTTAAATATGATGCAATTATTATAATTATTATAATTATTATTGTTGTTTTTGTTGTCGTTGTTATAATAAATAGTAAATTACTTGGAAAATAGTTATATGTAATAAAAAATACTAGGAATAACAGCTTACTTATATTTTTATTAAGACTAATAAAAAAGGTTGATTTATTTTTTAAAAAAGCATTTCCCCGTTGGTAATTTATTATTTTCTTATTAATTATAATAAATAATAAAAATAGTAATACTGTAATAATTAGAAGAATTGAAGTGTTCGGTAAATAAATATATTATTTTAATTTAAAAAGTAAAGAGTTATTTAATTATTAAGATTATTAATTATTAAATTATTTTGCACTAATGTTGAAAAAAATTGATTTATTTTCTAGAAAAACTTTTCGGTCTAAATCATTCGGTTCGGTGATTACCGACGGATAACAAATTGAAAACATATGGTTAAGATTTCGTTTGTGATTTGTTGGTATTCTGTTGGTAAACACCAATTGAATTCCGACGGAATTATTTCTGTCGCTATTCTGTTAGAATTCCGTCAGTAAAATTAGGGCTTTTGTCTTTGTCTCTATTTCTTCGGAATTCCGTCACTAACTTCCGACGAAAAAATTCCGGCACTAATTTCCATAGGAAATCATCGAGTTTAATTTCTAGTAGTGGACAAAAACCAAATAAACACTATTGTGGGTCATAAGTTAATTAAACATTTAACAATATCAAGTGCTATATAATCAGATGCAACTAGGTTAATATGCCAATGTTTTTTTTAAAGCAAGATAAATTATAAAGTACAATAACCTAACAGGAGCTAGGAGTACAAATCAAGAACGGTCCATAAGAGGGTTATTACACAAATTAAACCGATTATAATTACTATAATTAACTTCCTTCTACTATTAATCCATTAAGAAGAAGCTGTTAATTATGATATCGTTAACAAGGAGTGAGCTTTGTTTTGGGTACCTGAACATTTATCTTTGGGGCAGGTGGTTTATATGTCGATTTGATGTCATACGTGAACATTTATCTTTGCAGCACGTGTTGGTGATTTTAGTATTATCAACATATTTTAATGTAATTAGTATTATTATCGAGACAGACTAGGTTGAATTTACTTTCTCATATTGGAGATTCAGGACGCACACTCGGATAAATAAATGTGGACTCCAAAATAACGGAGGTCCAGAAGCAGCGTCCCTGGAGACATGGTTCCAAGAGGCAACGCCCCTTGCTGTTAGTTGTACGACAGTTTTCCCCTTGTAAGTTTCATCAACCGCCATCTTCCATAGATAAAAAGGAAGATTGGCGTTGCATGCAGTGGATAAAAGATACTATATACGAAACTGATTTCTTCTCTCTACATCAAACTACAGTCAAGATATTATGTGTTTGTGAACCAGATTAGTCCTGGTTCGATTACTTGGATTATCCCATAAGTTTGCATTTGTGTAACCCACGAATAAGGGTCTAATTATAGATTTCGGAAAGTATTGTAATCAGGATTTAAAAAATGATCCAAATTATTGTTATTTGAAATCCTATAAATCTAACAGCATGTGGCTAGTGGCTGGAGAACAGGTCTTTTGATATGGTTCGTTTCTCAACCTCGTTGGGAATGGTAGCTAGTAGCTGGGAATAAATGACAGTCTTTTTGCGTCAAAATCTGCTTCGCGATTGAGAACGGTGAGAGAAATGATTTGCAATGGAGAGAGGGGGGAAGAAAACCGATTTGGGATCAAGAGGGTGGGTAAGTGATGAATGATTTCGTCAATAGATGTATAATAATAATAATAATAATAATAATATTAATAACAACAACAACAACTTATGCCAAAATACTGAAATACAATACTGAGATAGAAAGAGATGAGATTGAGATGAGTAACGGTTAGGACTGATGCGACAGATCATCAAATGATCTTTAGCATTAGATTAGTGAACAATTACTATACGTTGATAGTCGGTAGTCACAAATCTGCAAATACGCAGTTGCGTATAGTTTTAGTAACAGGATTTATCCGTTGCCAAATTGTTCATTGCAGCCATCCATCATCAAGATATACATACATCAGTGTAAAATAGGTAAAGTATACAACGTGCATTAAACACTCCAAAATGAGTTGACCCCACGTTCTAATCCAACATGTTTTTAGTTTTAACGTTGGGTGACGTCATGCTGTTTAAAAACATTCAAGTAACTGGAAATTAGCATGACAGTAAATTTACCCAAAAGGCATATGTGAATAGTGGACTGGGTATAAGGGTGGCTAAGACCATATACGCCCACGATATACTTCCAAAACATCTAAAAGACGGCTTCAATTATTTTGTCTGAATTTAGAATTTGTGTTTGACCGAGATATCGAACTAAAATTTCTTATTAAAATCACTACTTGCGTGCAAACTGTGTAGTCGTTTGCTTAATTTTTTAAAAGAGCGAGCAATGGTGTGGAAACTCTGCTTGCAAATGTTGAAATGAGTGTAAAGATTCTCAAACACAGTGGTCCACCTGGTTATAGTTGTTAACTACGATAATGCTCCTAATTCAAACATCCGACATATCTATGTTCATTCTGATCTTTGAAAACCAAGTGGAGCAAGATTCCTCCCCTTTAATACTATTTAAAATGCTTAACAATTCAGTAGTAGTTCGACCGTGGTTTTAATAGGGACAGCCTTAGTCAAAATTTTGTGTGGGAATATAATGCCTTAATCCGTTAGGTGATAAACCTTCAAAGTGGTAGGGCACTAAATGCCTCTAAAAAAGCAAGTCACTCCCATGTGCTTCTTTTTTGTCAAGTCCTTCCTTATATCATCATAGATAATTAAATGTCCTCAGGTGACATGTCCTGCGGTTTAGATCTTTCTTTCCACTTGAAGACATCCAAAAATTCCTATTGCTATATATAGACCAAGGTCTTCGAGATTCCATTCAAAAATTCATTACCATAGGAACTCGGATACATTATTCTTTCCACTTGAAGAAACCCAAAAATCTCACTTTCTGCTTCTATCAAGGGCTTGCAAATTTCATTCCAAGATTCCTTGCTAAGAAACCCTTGTAAAATTCCCTTTTGCTTATAGTCAAAAACATGGCCATGGGAATAATCAAAATAGCAAATGCTAAACAAAAGCTCCGGCGATCCCTTACACCAAAGAAGAATGGGTTCCTGGGTGCTATGGATTCCCCGAAGAAAGGATATTTCGCTGTTTATGTTGGTGAGACACACAAGAAATATTTCATCCCTATATCAACCTTGGATCACCCTTTGTTCAGAGAACTTTTACATTGGGCTGAAGAAGAATTTGGTTTTGACAACTCAGAAGGAGGTCTTAAAATTCCTTGCACTGAAGATTATTTCGAAGGTCTCATTTCCCTGATAAGTTCTGTATGAATTTGGGCTAGGTGACTTTTAGAGTTGTATTATAACATATTCAATTTCACTCGGTTCATCAAGAGTGTTGAAAATCATACCGGTCAAAAGTCATCCTTTTTTAAAGATCATGGAAACCGCTATGCAATTTAAGATGACTTTTGTTGTAACTGCAGAAAAAACCTGTGAGAAATCATTGGGTAATGCAAATATGAGATTAAATTCATCATGTCAAAGTTATTTTGAGCATGTGCAAATCATTTGAAGTGTTGTAATAGAGAAGATAGCAATGATCTATCAAACCATATGTCTTCTTTCTATTCGTTCATCTTTATGATAATTCTGACGTGAAATCTGATACATTAGTTTGGAAAATTAAACAGCTTACATATGTTATATGGAGTTCTTGAGAATTAAGTACTCCAAAATGGAGTTGTTCCTAGTTCATATCCCACTAGCTTCAATCTAGCTTGTGGTGGTCTGCCATTCCATTCCATTATTTTATTTTTTTTGTTATATCGAGTTAAATATCTCAATAAAAAATCTCACATACTTATAATTTCACAATAATATAAGTTATAGTGTTACCATATAAATTAATCAATTATTTTAAAACGACTTATACACACTCACTAATCTACTCCTAATCAAGAGTTCGTCCAAGGGGGACTTTTGGAGGCTGAAACAGAGGAACATTTGTTTGTATATTGTATCATCAAGAAACATGTTTGGGCTGTGGTTGTAAGCTGGTGGAATATTCTCCCGAGAAATGTTATCTCGATGAAGCAGTTAGTGAAGGCTGCTGAGTTTGTAACGACTAGGATGATCCGATGATAGTGCATGGAGAGGCTTAAAGAGACCGCGGTCGTCAATTTTTGTGGGTTTTGTGCAATTTTATCGACTCAAAGAACTGTTATTAATTTTTGTGGGTTCAGTCTCGGTGTTTCCTGTATGTTAAGGAATCTAGTTTTTTCTTTTTTTAACGGAATAGTTCTCTTTTTAATCGGGTCAATTGGTGGCTTAATCCGATAGAAGAATGTACTATACGGCATACGCATGTTTTTCTATCTTTTTGCTGGTTTCTTTTTAATGAAATCTATGTCGTATAAAAAATGCGACAAAAGACAACGATGAAAAAGCAGTTTTATTGTGAACATGTTATCAATCTTACTTCTAATCATTTATATGTATAAAGTAAGTTTGTTAAAATGTTGGAAAGTAGTCTTTATCACCTACTAGCATTGGTGCACATATATACGAGGAAAACCATAAATGAGAAGGGGTTACTTTTAAGTCTTAAGGCCATCGTGTATACTGATCACGAAGTCATTCGTGGTCTACGTGGCCATGAAAATCCGGCGTGCACACTATTCCGTTCATTCGTGGTCGGGCGTGGTCGTGCTCCTTCGTGTTGCCGACGACGAACGTAAACGACCAATACGATTGAGTTTTCATATTTTTTACCGTTCAATAGCCAAAACATTACATATATATAAACATAACAATTGAACAACCTATGCATTCAAATCATTCTCTTCTACTTGTACATCTTCATATTTTACACATGCCCTCTCTATCTTTATTCACTTTTAAAAACCATGGCTCCCAAAATGCAGATTTGGTTGGAAGGGAAGAAGAGAAGTTAACACTAGAATGGGTAACGACTTCGGAAGACCCAGATAGTCGAACTTCCAGGGATTATTGGGCAAAAGTTGGTAACATTTTCCATGATTTAATGGGTTGTCGCAGTCGTAATCTTGATGCAATATGTTCTAAGTTTCGCTTTATGAAGGTAAACTGTCGCAAGTTCGCCGGACTTTATAACTTTGTTATAAACAACGCACACGAAGACGATCCGGTTGTTGTGGTCATGCATCAACATGAAGACATAAACCACAGACCGTTTAAACACCTTAAAGTTTGGCTAAAATTGAAGAAGTCCCCGTTGTGGGATAATTAAAAAAATGGGTTTTAAGTTGTTTGTGCTTGCATTTTTATGTTTTCTTCTATTTTATTATAGTAGTTTTTTTTTAATTATGTAATATTTTTTAACCGAATAAAAAACTAGTTTAAAAAATATGTTTTTATTGTATTTGCATTTTTATGTATTTTTGAATTAAATTTAATTAAAAAAATGAGGTGAAATGGTGTGGTAGTGTCCCATGCAGGGCCGACCTTAATGTTTTATGAGTGAAGGTAGGGCTTAGGGCCCCCAATTGTAAGGGGCCCCCTTTACTTTTGATCCAATTTAGTAGTTTCCAAAAAATCAGGCGTATGTGTAGATCGATTCTTCAATCAAGGGACGATACGGCATAAAAATTTCGTTCTTTTTTCCATTCTCCTTCTCGATTACAGGCCCTTCTCCAATCGTTTCTTCTACTCTTCTGTTTGAGTTGCTGTCTCACTGAATCGCTGCAAACTGTGTTCTTCAATCTTCAGACTTCAATTCTTCTTCCTTCTTCATTCTCTGTTTTTCCTGATTTGATGATCTGCTCTATTCTGCTGTGATTGAATGATTGAAATGGTAAGTCGACATTAATATGCTTTGTAATTTTCACTTTTTAGTTTTGATTTTGCTATTATCTATGATTATCTAATTGGGTTAATATCCAATTAATTAGGGTTAGACGATGGTGAGCAACTATAATATAGATTTGAAATTTTGTTGTTTACTTTATAATATTTGAGTTGGAATCGTTTGAGCTTTCCATATACTTTCAATCATGATTTTTATATTAAATAATCTTGATTTCACTTGTTAAAGTTATTAGAAATTTTCGACAGATGAAAGCTCAAGTCTAAAAAGTTATATTGTGCTTTTATAATGTGGTTTGGTAAATTAAATATCATAAAATTGCATGAGAGTAAGCCGGCAAGAAGTGGTCCCAATCATTCCAATTTACATTGCAATTGTTTGTAATTTTAATTTTTTATATTTGTCTTTCATTTGCATTGTTTCAAGCAAGAGGTGGTCCCAATCATTCCAAATTACAGTGCAATTGTTTGTAATTTTAATTTTTTATATTTATCTTTCATTTGCATTGTTTCAAGCAACTTTCAATTTCATGCATTTGAAAAATGTTTTAGAAAAAGAAAAAACACGTAAACAATATAAAAATCTATAAAAGACTATTTACCCTCCAGGTTTTTCCTATATATTCTATTCATCCTTAAGTGTGGATCTGTGCAGGAATGAATGTCCAATAACTGATTCCGGATTTGGCAGATTTCATTGTTTCGAGCTTTCCATTATCTCAGGGGCGGTATAATCCTAATCCATATCCTCTATAGTTATAGTTATTATCAATCAAATAATTAATAATCATGTCAAAGAGAAAATACGAATCCGGTGCCTCAAAAAAGAAACGAAAAATGCAAAAAGAAGAAGCTTTTATAGATAAACAAAAAGGGTCGTTTTTAAAATATTTAACTCCAAACAAAAATGTTGATAATGAACAACAACAAACTAATGTTTATAACGAACAAGAACAAGCTAATGTTGATAATAATGATCATGTACCAACTAATATTGAAAATGATAATGAACCAACTAATATTGACAATGATAATGAAAAAACTAATATTGAAATTGATAACGAACAAACTAATAGTGAAAATGATAACGAACAAACTAATATTGAAATTGATAACGAACACACTAATAGTGAAAATGATAACGAACAAAGTAATTATATTGAAATTGATAACGAACAAACTAATAGTGAAAATGATAACACGCCTTTAAACATATATGATCCAAGTAGATGGAATAATATTAGTACTAATTTAAGAGATTTAATCGTAGAAAAAGGTCCTATTAAGATTTATGATTTTAAATTTCCAAAAGATCAACATTTAAGAAGCTTTAGTACATCTCTTTACATGCAAAAAATACCAAATGGAGAAAAATACGAACGAACATGGTTGGTTTATTCCATAGATGTAGATAGAGTTTTTTGTTTTTGTTGTAAATTATTTAATGTGAATGCATCTACATGTTCATTAGCACATAAAGGTAATAATGATTGGAACAATATTTCTAGTATATTAAAAAGACACGAAGCAAGTAACGGACACATTCTCAATATGAGGTCATGGATTGACTTAGAAACTAGATTAGCAAATAATAAAACAATTGATAAGCAAATCCAAGAACAAATAAATAAAGAAAAAGAACATTGGAAAAATGTATTAATAAAAAATCATTGCTGTAGTAAAAACATTAGGAAAAAATAATTTAGCATTTCGTAGAACAAATGAAAAGATTTATGAAGAAAATAATGGTAATTTTTTAACTATAATTGAAATGATTGCGGAATTTGATCTTATTATGCAAGAACATATTAGGAGAATTAATGACAAAGAAATTCATAATCATTATCTTGGACACAATATGCAAAATGAACTTATTAGTTTATTAGGAGAAGAAGTTAAAAGTAAAATAATTAAAAAGGTAAAAGAAGCTAAATACTTTTCAATAATACTTGATTGTACTCCCGATACAAGTCATAAAGAACAAATGTCGATTATCTTACGATGTTTAGATCTTTCAACAACTCCAATTGAAGTTAAGGAGTACTTTCTAGGATTTTTAATTGTAGATAATACAAACGGTAAAGGCTTATATGATTCAATAGTTGATGAAATTAAAAATATAGGACTAGATATAAATGATGTTAGGGGTCAAGTATATGACAATGGATCAAATATGAAAGGAAAACATCAAGGTGTTCAAAAACGATTGTTAGATATTAACCCTAGAGCATTCTACACTACGTGTGGTTGTCATAGTTTAAATTTAGTAATTTGTGATATGACTAATTCGTGTGATAAAGCTAGTGAATTTTTTGGAGTTATATAACGTATATATTCGATATGCTTCATCAACTCAAAGGTGGAAAATATTACAAGATAATATATCAAACCTAACACTTCAATCATTATCGCAAACTCGTTGGGAAAGTAGGGTAGAAAGGGTAAAAGCAATTAGATTTCAAGCACCACAATTAAGAAAAGCACTT